CTTGGAGGAGAAGTAATTGAGGAGGGAGGAGTGTAGGAGTTCTTGGGACCTGATATTGGGAGGAGTAGCCAAACATTAATCAGGTCTTTAGGTCCTTATCGATGACCTGGAGGAGTTTAACGGATTTGTCAGGTCCCAGGTTCCATTTAGGGTGACCTGAAGGGGGAAAAGAAGTAACAGGTATTCAGGTTCTACAGGTCCTCCTCGAAGGGTGACCTGGGAGAGGGATAAATCGTCTTAAGGGTGACCTCACTCTAACAATTTTCCACCCTTGACCAGTTTAGAGAGCTGGAAGGATTTTGCTCAGCTCTGGAAATCCGATCTTAGGAGAGAGAGGTGTGGGGAATGGTGGGAGGCAGTAAAAGAAGGGAATGGAGGGAGGAAGGGGGCAGGAAGTGGCAGTAATGGCTGGAGGGAGAGATACAGGAAAGGAGTTTTGGAGAAATATGGGAGGTAATGCGTATGTATGTGTATGTATGTATGAATGTATGTATGTATGTATGTATGTATATGTATACCATTATATATGTAGGTCTCAGGTCGTATGTGTGTGTGTGTGTGCAGTTCCCGAGCACCCCAAGAGGCCAGATCCGTGACCCAGAATAAATTATCACAGCAGAGAATATTTTCCCCGGCAACAGATGGAGATTTGGCTTCCATATTTTTTATACATTTATTATTATTATTATTATTATTATTATTATTATTATTATTATTATTGTTGTTGTTGTTATTATTGTTATTATAGTTTAGTAATTGACTTAGTTAATTTTTATTACGAAACTACACACACACACACACACACACACACACACACACACACACACACACACACACACACACATAAATATAAAATGTAAATAAACAACATAAAAGGCTGGAGCATAAAGGCCAAAATAGTTGGATTACTGTATGTTTGGTGTTATCAGCTGAGTACAGGTGTGTGTGTGTGTGTGTGTCTGTGGTGTGAGTTGTAAGGTTCACACACACACACACACACACACACACACACACACACACACACACACACACACACACACACACCATAAAACATTTCCTGAGTGAGAGAGAATCGGTGTTTGGAATCTGTTCATGACAGCCTGACACCCGAGCCACAAATATTCCACCGATCAGAGGAAAAATGTTTGTGTTGCTGCCGGACCAGAGCCTCACCTCACCTTACCTCACCTCACCTCACACCTCACCCCACCTCCCACCCCTCACCTACCTTACCTTACCTTACCTTACCTGTTTCCCTTTTGATATTTATACCTTTTCCCCGTAACCCTACCAACCCTAACCTAACTCACTAATTTCCACCACAAAAAAACTACATCAATAATCTCGACACAGAAGCCATTTGTTGCGTTGTTTAGGGTCAATTGGAGCCATAAATTATGTAGTTTGCTTGTTAATCACACCATTTGTCCTAATTAATGCCCATTTTGATGACATGGTGCCTATCAGTCTGTGTGTCTGTCAATCAGTATGTATGTATGTATGTAGTCTAGTTGTGTGTGTAGCTTGTATGTTTACCTGTGTGTGTGTGTGTGTTTAGCTGTTTGTGAGTGTGTAGATCTTTGTTTGGTTTGCCTGTGTGTGTGTGTGTGTTCGTCTACAGTATGTGCACCACCTCCTCCTCTCCATCTCACTCTTCCTTCTCCTCCTTCAAACTCCTTCCTCTCTCTCCTCCCCTACCTCCTCAGTCTCCCCTCCTCTCTCCCCTCCCCCCTCTCCCCTTCTCCTCCCCTTCATTCTTAACCCTCTCTTCCCATCCCCCACCCTTCTCCCTTCCTCCCCCACTCCCCCCTCCCCCACCCCCTCCCCCTCCCCTCCCCCCTCCCCTCCCCCCCTCCCCACTCCCCCCACTCCCCTCCCTCCCTCCCCTCCCCCTCCCCCCCTCCCCTCCCCCTCCCCTTTCCCCTCCCCACTCCCCCTCTCCTTGGGTTCGTTTCATATTCTGTTTGTGTGTCAGGTAGTGTCCTCTCTCACCCTCGTCTCCTTATCTTTAATTCACAAGGTTCCTCAGATGACGTATGACTGCTGTATGTCTCAACCTAACCTAACCCTTTCTAACCTAACTTAACCTAATCTAACCTGACCTTATCTATTCAACCTAATTTAATCTAGCATAATTTAACCTAATCTTATATATTCAACCTAGTTTAATGACCTATCCTATCCTATCCTATCCTATCCTAACCTAACCGGCCTGGTTTCTCTGGTCAGGATATCCGGCTTTAAGGTTCTTCAAAGTAGCTTCTGAGATCCGTAAATTTGATGAGAAAATTTGGGGGAGAAAAGGGGTGGGAGAAGGGGGAGGTTGAAGGAATTTCTTCTTCTCACTCCTCCTCCTCCTCCTCCTCCTCCCTCCTCCCTCCCTCCCCTCCCCCCCTCCTCCCCAGTTTAAGAGATAAAACCCACGTCTTGTGTGTTATTAAATCAGAGACTCGCTCCACTCCGGGTCAGGCATCTGGGTTAGGTTAGGTGAGGGATATTTGTGTTAGTGTTGTCCTGGTGGTCGATGATGATGATGATGATGATGATAATAATAGTAATAATGATAATAATGATAGTAATAATAAAATACTACTACTATTCCTACTACTACTACTACTACTTCTACTACTACTAATAATAAGAGCAATGTAACAATAATACTCATAATAAAATAATAATAATATACTAAAATAAAATAATGATGAGTATAATAACAAAATATTACTTACAAAAAACATATAAATAAAACGTCAAGAATATAATCAAGGCTCATTATACATCTGGCTGTGCAGGTGTGCCGTCCAAAGTATCGTACCACAGGTGTGTCATACATCTGGCTGTGCAGGTGTGCCGTCCAAAGTATCGTACCACAGGTGTGTCATTATACATCTGGCTGTGCAGGTGTGCCGTCCAAAGTATCGTACCACAGGTGTGTCATTATACATCTGGCTGTGCAGGTGTGCCGTCCAAAGTATCGTACCACAGGTGTGTCATTATACATCTGGCTGTGCAGGTGTGCCGTCCAAAGTATCGTACCACAGTTGTGTCTTCAAGCCGGTGTGAGGACGTCTCGAATTTCCTCATTTTAGTTATGGTGCCCAGATGGTGGTGACAATGGCGCCTGGTTTTCATTGAGACTCGAGTGTAATTAAATATGGAGTTAAATTAAGGGAAGATTTAACGTAAGTGTAATGTGTTTTCGGAGTTTAGTTACGTAGTTAAGATAGTGAATATTTCTCGTAATTATTGTCTGATTTTATGGTGTGAAAATGAACTTCCTATGATCACGTGAAGATTAGACACCCCGGCTTATTTCACCGTCAGGTTAGCCATCCTAATGCTAACCTAACCTCGCTGTACCCAGGTCGTGGTGTCCTCATGTCGTGGTGTACCCAGGTCGTGGTGTCCTCATGTCGTGGTGTACCCAGGTCGTGTACCCAGGTCGTGATGTACCCAGGTCGTGATGTACCCAGGTCGTAGTGTACTCAGGTCGTGATGTACCCAGGTTCGTCATGTACCCAGGTCGTGGTGTACCCAGGTCGTGGTGTACTCAGGTCGTGATGTACCCAGGTCGTAGTGTACTCAGGTCGTGATGTACCCAGGTCGTAGTGTACTCAGGTCGTGATGTACCCAGGTTCGTCATGTACTCAGGTCGTGAACTCTGTTAGTGAACCCAGAAGTTTTCCTAAGTGGTGTACTCAAGTATGTGCTGGAGTTATAGATGGTGACTTGTTCAAGGGACTGTAAACACAAACATCAAGGGACTGTAAACACAAACATCAAGAGACTGTAAACACAAACATCAAGGGACTGTAAACACAAACATCAAGGGTCTGTAAACAACAAACATCAAGGGACTGTAAACACAAACATCAAGGGACTGTAAACACAAACATCAAGGGACTGTAAACACAAACATCAAGGGACTGTAAACACAAACATCAAGGGACTGTAAACACAAACATCAAGGGACTGTAAACACAAACATCAAGGGACTGTAAACACAAACATCAAGGGACTGTAAACACAAACATCAAGGGACTGTAAACACAAACATCAAGGGACTGTAAACACAAACATCAAGAGACTGTAAACACAAACATCAAGGGACTGTAAACACAAAACATCAAGGGACCAAACACAAAAATAAGGGACTGTAAACACAAAACATCAAGGATCAAACACAAACATCAAGGACTGTAAACACACAAACATCAAGGGACTGTAAACACAAACATCAAGGGACTGTAAACAAAAACATCAAGGACTCTGTAAACACAAAACATCAAGGACTGTAAACACAAACATCAAGGACTGTAAACACAAAACATCAAGGGACTGTAAACACAAACATCAAGGACTAAACACAAACATCAAGGGACTGTAACAAACATCAAGGGACTGTAAACACAAAATTATCAAGGGACTGTAAACACAAAACATCAAGGGACTGTAAAACACAAACATCAAGGGACTGTAAACACAAACATCAAGGGACTGTAAACACAAACATCAAGGGACTGTAAACACAAACATCAAGGGACTGTAAACACAAACATCAAGGGACTGTAAACACAAACATCAAGAGACTGTAAACACAAACATCAAGAGACTGTAAACACAAACATCAAGGGTCTGTAAACAAACACACTAAGTGTATGAGGGGAGAGGAAGGGGGTGTGAGAAATGGTGGATGGGGGGGGATGTACAATATTGGAGTACTTCAAGCTTATCATGTACATTAGGAGCACTTCAAACTTACCATGTACATTAGGAGTACTTCAAGCTTATGTACATTAGGAGCACTTCAAGCTTGCCATGTACATTAGGAGTACTTCAAGCTTATGTATATTAGGAGTATTTCAAGCTTATGTACATTAGGAGTATTTCAAGCTTACCATGTACATTAGGAGTACTTCAAGCTTATGTACATTAGGAGTATTTTAAGCTTACCATGTACAACACAGGTGTATTGGAGTAAGGTGATGTACTGTTCACAGGGATGGTGTTGTACACGGGAGGACAGCGAGGTCGACCGGCGGGGCAGGCGGTAGTAACTGAGGTAAGTACCGTCTACTGTCTTCAGGTACAGTCACTCAAACAACTATCTGTCTACAGTACAGTCACTCAACGAACTCCTCTCCTCAGTATCAGTCACTCAACAAACTCCTCTCCTCAGTATCAGTCACTCAAACAACTATCTGTCTACAGTACAGTCACTCAACAAACTCCTCTCCTCAGTATCAGTCACTCAAACAACTATCTGTCTACAGTACAGTCACTCAACAAACTCCTCTCCTCAGTATCAGTCACTCAAACAACTATCTGTCTACAGTACAGTCACTCAACAAACTCCTCTCCTCAGTACAGTCCACTCAAACAACTATCTGTCTACAGTACAGTCACTCAACAACTCTCTCAGCATCAGTCACTCAAGAGTACAGTCACTCAAACAACTATCTGTCTACAGTACAGTCACTCAAACAACTATCTGTCTACAGTACAGTCACTCAAGCAACTATCTGTCTACAGTACAGTCACTCAAACAACGCTATCTGTCTACAGTACAGTCACTCAAACAACTATCTGTCTACAGTACAGTCCACTCAAACAACTATCTGTCTACGAGTATCAGTCACTCAAACAACTATCTGTCTACAGTACAGTCACTCAACAAACTCCTCTCCTCAGTATCAGTCACTCAAACAACTATCTGTCTACAGTACAGTCACTCAACAAACTCCTCTCCTCAGTACAGTCACTCAAACAACTATCTGTACTCGGGGTGATCGATGAATCCCACAATGAACACTACGTCTCCTGTTGTCTCAGTATGGTTGCCAAAATCCTTCGTCCATTGTGTCATATTTTTTCAACACAATTTTGTATCGATAATTTTTAAGTGACTGTACGATGCTCTTATGTTGGCGCACATGTACGTTTATTCTGATGTTTGTGTACGTGTTTGGGTGTAGGAATGAGTGTACATGTACGTATATCGCTGTGTACTATGTCAATACTTAGAACATAGTGGAAGATGTGTGCAATATTTGACTTGTGATTCCTAAGAGTGTTTTATTATTAGTCATTTTGCCCTAAGGTTAATATTTTCACGTAGTTGCAGACATTTTCACGTAATTACAGACATTTTCACGTAATTACAGGCATTTTCACGTAATTTCAGACATTTTCACGTAATTACAGACATTTCACGTAATTACAGACATTTTCACGTAATTAGACATTTTTCACGTAACATGCGAGATATTTTCGTAAGAGATAAAGTTAGCTTGGAGTTGGTGAGTTTGTTACAACTGGTGATAAATGCCTCAGCCTTGGAGGGTAAATGGCTGGCTGGGCCTTTTAATAAGAACTCTTGTGATTTAATAGATGGTTAATATCTCTTATAAAGGTGGCGAGAGAGTGGATGGGGATGAGCCCTTGTTGTTCGTCTTCCTGTGTGTGTGTGTGTGTGTGTGTGTGTGTGTGTGTGTGTGTGTGTGTGTGTGTGATTCAATACCCATCTTCCACCTCTCTCTCTCTCTCTCTCTCTCTCTCGGTCAAGAGGTCGCCACCAATGAACTAATGAGGAGGCATCATCTTGAGTTTAATGACCTCCGCCACTCCTGGCCTCTCTACCTCCTCTTAGCCAGGTGTGTGAAAGGTGGTAGGTGTAGAGGGTTTCAGGTATGTGAGGAAAGGCAGGTGTAGAAGGTGTTTATAAGAGATTCAGGTATGGAAGACAGGTTTGTGATATAGAAGCTTTAGAGAGACCGTTCTAGTCAGCTTTAAAGACAGACGAATCCGTAAGCTTAAACTGTTCTAGCTGGCGGGTAATGACAGAAATGGTTGACTGTGTGTGTGTGTGTGTGTGTGTGTGTGTGTGTGTGTGTGTCATGTGTGTGTGTGTGTGTGTGTGTTGTGTGTGTGTGTGTGTGTGTGTGTGTGTGTGTGTGTGTGTATTGTGCCTCGTTCTCGGATAGTGATGATGAGGGAGGGTGCGTGTATCCAAGTTAACAAAGGAGGAGGAAGAATGGTCGTTTATATTCCTGATGGAGTTTGAATGAGTCGTTCACATCTAAAGAACACAGTGTGAACGAGAGGGGTGAGGGAGGAGGGAGGAGGTGGGGAGGAAGAGGGGAGGAGGAGAGGTGAGGGAGCGACACTTGACCCACATTTTCCTAATAATAATAACTAGACAGGGCCGTCATGTGTGAAATTGATATCATTGTGTAAACAGTGTTACCATGACAACAAAGATCTCTCTCTCTCTCTCTCTCTCTCTCTCTCTCTCTCTCTCTCTCTCTCTCTCTCTCTCTCTCTCTCTCTCTCTCTCTCTCTCTCTCTCTCTCTCTCTCTCTCTCTCTCTCCTCCCCACCTCCCCACTCCCCCACTCCCCACTCCCCTCCCCACTAACCTATATATTTCAGCTATAAAGAACATTTTGACCACTAGTTATTTACTCTCGTCCGTCACACTGATGAAGAGAAGAAAAACTAAACAAAACTAAAAACCGGAAAAACGAAAAAGAAGCGGATGATTGAAGCCCAAACTGAGGGAAGCTTTTCGTGTGTGTGTGTGTGTGTGTGTACGTATGTTTGTGTATGTGTGTGTGTATGTACGTATGTGTGTTTGCGTGTGTGTTTGTGTATATGTGTGTTTGCGTGTGTGTGTTTGTGTATATGTGTCACTTGCGTGTATGTGTATATGTACGTCTTTGTTTGCGTGTGTGTGTGTGTGTGTGTGTATATACGTACGTGTGTGTGTGTGTCATTTTGTTATTCATATACAGATAATTTATATTCACAAGAGGTCGCCATCATTAGCGTCATTACCAAGCTTAATTACGTATCAATAGTCATTATGAATAGCCTTTATTAGTGACCTTAATTGAGGATTTAGTCAAGTATTTGTCCCTTATTAAAGCTGTCCCTTGAGTGGTGTAACAGCTGGCACTTGAGGGATAGCTTCTAGTTGTGAACCTTGAGTGGTGTAACAGCTGCCGGGGTAGATTTTCACCTCACGGTACCCCCTCCCCCCCCACCAATGTATCCTCCCCACTCCCCCTAACACCCCCTCCTCACCTATATTTCCCAGGTTAAATATGTCGCCAAATTGTTTACCTGGCCGTTCTCTTATGTGTTTGCAGGATGGAATATGATTCAATTAAGTTATTTTTGACTGGGTCGTAGGTCACGTTTGGCTTCCACCGTGTAGTGTAGCCTGGGGGTATGAGAGGACCCTGGCTCTCTCTCTCTCTCTCTCTCTCTCTCTCTCTCTCTCTCTCTCTCTCTCTCTCTCTCTCTCTCTCTCTCTCTCTCTCTCTCTCTCTCGCTCTCTCTCTCTCTCTCTCTCTCTCCTCTCTCTCTCTCTCTCTCTCTCTCTCTCTCTCTCTCTCTCTCTCTCTCTCTCTCTCTCTCTCTCTCTTGTCTTCCTCTCTCCCACACTTCTAGATGAAAAATAAGGGAACAGAGAGAGAAGAAGAAGAAAGATCATGTGGTAAATATAGTAGTGGTCGTCTTTAAGCCCCCTCCCTCCCCTCCCCTCCCCGTCCCCTCCCCCTCCCCCCTCCCTCCCCCGTCCCCCTCCCCTCCCCTCCCAGATGCTGTAGGTTGTGTGCTGTCTCAAGTTTGTGAATGAGAGATTGATTCTTCGTCTTTTTACTGCGGCTTACCTGAGGGTGATGAAGGGGGGAGGAGAGGGAGGGAAGGGAAGAGTGAGGGAAGGGAGAAGAAGTGAGAGAAGGGAAAGAAGGTGAGGAGGAAGGGAAGGGTGAGGAGGAGGGGGAAGAGGGGTGAGGAGGAGGGGGAAGAGGGGTGAGGAGGAGGGGGAAGAGGGGTGAGGAGGAGGGGGAAGAGAGATCTGGAGGAGAGGAGGAGGAAGGTCTTCTACTCATTTCCTTCCTTCCCATCCTCTTCTGGAGGAGAGGAGGAGGAAGGTCTTCTACTCATTTCCTTCCTTCCCATCCTCTTCCCTCCTTCCCATTCTTTCCCCCCTCACCTCTCCCTTTCTCTCCCTCCCTCCCTCCCTTCCCCTTTCCACACTCCTGAATTAGTGACCTTTTATACACAACAAACCCTCACCCTCCCCATCCGTACACGATTGATGTGTGTGTGTACGTGTGTGTGTGTGCGTGTGTGTACGTGTAATAATAATAATAATAATAATAATAATAATTAACGGTTTATTGAAAGAGCTTGGCAGCCAGAAGGCTGAAAATATACAGTTACATATTTGGGGAATGGGTTACGAATTACAAATAATATACAAGTGACATAAGTGACACAAATAAGACATATAGTAACTTAGATGGGGATCAGCTCAAACTACAGTTCATTTCAACATAGTGACAGTGTAGGGAGCAGTGTTTACTGGGAGTGAATACACTGATTTATTACATGTTACGTGTGTGTGTGTGTGGGCAGTTTTACGAAATCCCTCACCCACCTCTCAGTCCCTCACCTACCTCTCAGTCCCTCACCTACCTCTCAGTCCCTCACCTCCCTCTCAGTCCCTCACCTACCTCTCAGTCCCTCACCTACCTCTCAGTCCCTCACCTACCTCTCAGTCCCTCACCTACCTCTCAGTCCCTCACCTACCTCTCATAAAGTCTCTTAAGTTAAGGGTAAGATAAAGGGAGAATTTGTTCTTCGTATTTTCAGGGGATTTTAGGGTCGGCTAAGGGGTTTTGGACCTATATTAAGGGGGTTTGTGTGTTGCTTAAGGGATTTTAAGGGAGGATAAGGTGAAATAAGCTGGGGTGTCTAAGCTTCACGTAAATTAAGCTGGGGTGTGTAAACTTCAGGTGAAATAAGCTGGGGTGTCTAAACTTCAGGTGAAATCAGCTCCTTTCCTCTTTCTTCTCTTATTACTTCCCCTCATTTGAACTCCTCACGTCCCCTCAATTCCCCTCATTTCCTCTTCTGATCTTTCGTCAATTAGTTTCTTCCCCCTTTTTTATCATTTCCCCTCTTCTTACCTTTCATTCTTCCCCTCATTTAGTGTCATTTTTCTCCTCTCTCACCTTCCATCACTTTCCTTCATTTCCCTCTCTTTCCTTTTCTCAGTTCCCCTCAATTAGTCGCTTGTCAGGTCCTTCCATTTCCCCTCTTCTCTTCCCACTTCATTCGGTTCCTCTCCCCTCTGATATCTTTCCCTCCCCCTCTTCTATCCCAGTCGTATCTCTCTCTCTCTCTCTCTCTCTCTCTCTCTCTCTCTCTCTCTCTCTCTCTCTCTCTCCTACTCCCCTCACTCCCTCTTTTAACATGGATTCCCTCATTCTCCCCTTTTTATTTTTCTCCACTGGCTTCTCTCTTCTCTCCCCTCTCAAACTTCTCCCCTCCCTCTCTCTCTCCTCTCCTCCCCCCCTCCCCTCCCCCTCCCCTCCTCCCCACACCCATCAGCATCACCAGCCATATTTGAAGGTGTCGTTGTTCCCTCAACTTGGTTTTGGCATCGTTGTAAAGGGTTTGGCGATATTTTTGTGTTGGAGAGACGGCGGTCGTGTGTGTGTGTGTGTGTGTGTGTGTGTGTGTGTGTGTGTGTGTGTGTGTGTGTGTGTGTGTGTGTGTGTGAACTCCGTCCCTATAATATTCCCAACTTTCTGCAGCTAATAGTATCGCTCTGATGGGAATACTGGAATACTTTGGAATCTGATTGGGAATTTAGGAATATTGTGATATTTTAAGGGAGAATATGTAACTCTCTCTCTCTCTCTCTCTCTCTCTCTCTCTCTCTCTCTCTCCTAATATGTGTGTTCTTTTTTCTCACAAAGTTCAGAGTTTATTTTTTTCCAGGGAACATTCTTTAAAATTCTTCTTAACAATTTGGCAACATTGTTTAAAGTTACTCACGAAAAACTACTGAATTACTGTGCTGTATGAAGCGTCTGGAGGTACTGAACAAGGTGATTTGGTAGTTGTGTTTTGTGTGTGAAGGAGAGAGAGAGAGGGGGAGGGGGCAGACACTTGAAATCAGAGGTGTTTTATGTTTCCTGGAAGATGGTGGATATAACCTAACCTAACCTAACCTAACCTAACCTAACCTATCCCCTACAGGTAAAATTAAGGTGTTTTAATAATCAACTAAAATAAAATTATCTATGTGGTTTTTTTTTGGGGGGGGGGGGACTTAAAATAATCCAAAAATATAAAAAATTATCCTAAAAAATATTAAATATTCTTGCCTCTAAAAAATATTCCAGCGGCAACAAATGAAATTCAATACACAGATGTTTTATGCAGATGTTTGGTACACACCTGCATGACGCGACACCAGGTGTGTGTGTGTGTGTGTGTGTGTTTATGTGTATGTGTGTGTGTGTGTTTTAGTCTATGTATATTTATGGTGCCTGTCGGGTTGAGATGAAAGGTCTTTGAGCCAGAGAATGAAAGGTGAAAAAAATTATACTGCATTTTAATAACTGTGTGTGTGTGTGTGTGTGTGTGTGTGTGTGTGTGTGTGTGTGTGTGTGTGTGTGTGTGTGTGTGTGTGTGTGTGTGTGTGTGTGTGTGTGTGTAGATGTCTTCCATGTATGTGTGTCGATTTTCCTGTATATGTATGTGAGAGAGCAATAACAAATTAACCTAAACTACACCACTTAACCTAACCTAACCCTACATCACTTACCAGGTGGAGGATGCCATAGACGTGTACTTCAAGAGGTTGTGTGGCGGGGAGGAGGTGATGAGGGCACACCTACGAGAGCCCAGCTGGCGCCAGACGACCACCCCCAGGATCAACAGGTCCCGGCCCGTCATACCTCCCCTACTGGAGCTACACCTTATACAACTAGGCAACAAGGTCAGGTGCTCCTTATATAACTAGGGTACAAGGTCAGGTGCTCCTTATTTAACTAGGGTACAAGGTCAGGGTTATCCTTATATCATTATATTACTTGGGTATAAGGTCAGGTGCTCCTTATTTAACTAGGGTACAAGGTCAGGTGCTCCTTATATAACTAGGGTACAAGGTCAGGTGCTCCTTATATAACTAGGGTACAAGGTCAGGTGCTCATTAACTTTACAAGGTCAGGTGCTCATATATAGGGGTACAAGGTCAGGTGCTCCTTATTAACTAGGGTACAAGGTCAGGTGCTCCTTATATAACTAGGGTACAAGGTCAGGTGCTCCTTATTTAACTAGGGTACAAGGTCAGGTGCTCCTTATATAACTAGGGTACAAGGTCAGGTGCTCCTTATATCGCCTTATACTACTAGGGAACAAGGTCCAAGTAGGAGAGAGGAAAGCGAGAAAGAAGGGGGTGGGAGAGGAGAAGAAAGGGGAGGAGAGAGGGGAGAAGAGAAGATGAGAGAAGGAGGAGGGAGAGGGGGAGCTTATAGTTGAGGTACAGATAATTTATTTTTTAAGAGACGAGATAAAATTTAATAAATGATATCCGTCGTTATAAGATTGTGTTCGGTTTAACTTTTGGTAGATTTGGGGTTTAATTTTTGGTTGATTTTTTGTTTAATTTTTGGTTTAATTTTTGTTTGATTTTTGGTTTAATTAACGACGCGAGGTTGTCATGAGAGTCAGGACTGGGAAGGTAAACACAGACTGGATCAATTAGCTGCTCAGTGTGGGATGCCTGACGTAACTAAATAAAATAAAATAAAAACATACGAGTACTGTATTTATAAATGAGATAAGTTTTTTTAAATAATTCTAGTTATTATAAGTGATTTTATTAATTTTTTTCCATATGCTTTACTGTTATTGAACGATATATAATTATATAAAAAAAATATTGTACTTATGTCTTTGTAACTTTGTGTTATTTTTGCCCTTATTTTGTTATTTTGGTTATTATTTAGTTTTTTTGGTTATTATTTTGTTATTTTGGTTATTATTTTGTTATTTTTTCCTAATTTTTGTATTTTTTTGTAAACTTGGGCAGAATTTTGTGTCCAGGAGGAAATTCTCAGGTGAAGTTAACTCTGGTGGAATTTGTGTGTGAATAAGGTGGTGGAGGTGGCAAGACTCACTCACCTGGAAGAGCTTTAGCGCCAGGGAGGAGGGAGATCAGATTACCTGTATCTTATCGAGTCTCACCTGGGGATTTGGGGGGGGGGGATTCTTAAACACTCTTACGATAAATTATTTCCTCAACTGATGGGTGAAGATTAGAAAGTGGTTTACTAAGTTACCTGTTATATATGGTATACGAATGTCTGTCTGTTTGTCTGTTTGTAATGTAGGAGGAAGGATTAGGATATATATATATAATAGACAGGTAAGAGGGATGGATCATTTACCTGTATATCAAGATGACAAGCGTCTTCCTTCCGGGTGTTGAGATATTGATGGTGAAGGAAGGAGGGGGGGGGTTGGAGGAAGGAGAGGGTACTGGAGGTGGGAGGAAGGGCAGGTAGGGAGTGGAGGGAAGGAAGGGGGAGGATGGGTGGGGGTGGGAGGAAGGGAGAGAGGGTGAGGGAGGAGAGGTGTAGAAGACAGGGTGTTTCTCTCTCTCTCTCTCTCATTCATTCATTCATTCATTCATTGGACAGGAGGTGAAGGAAGAGAGGTGGGGGAGGTATTCACAGCCTAAGTGTTATTATGTAAACAAAGTCACGTGGTTGTGGTGGGCGGGGCATTGACCTCTTTGTTTACTCCTTCAGCTGACCATCGGTGAGGCGGAGGTGGCCCGGGTACGCTTCCGACGAGCTGCTGCTGCCGCCACACTGGGTCCTTCTTCAGGTAGGTGTTGTCTCTCGTCAGATTCCTCCAGGCATACACTAGGTCTCTCTCTCTCTCTCTCTCTACACACACACACACACACACACACCACAATTTCGACAACATATTAAATCAGAGTTCATCACCTTACTTGATGCTCTTTGAAGACGCCTGGTAATTCCCGGCCCAGAATACTTCATCTTGGGGAGGCAGATTGAGGCGTCGACAAGTGACCTGAGATGGTGATGGTGGTGATGGTTGTAGTGGTGGTAGTGATGATGGTGATGGTGGCGACCTGTGGTGTAATGGTCAGCATGCTCGCCTCTCAGTACTTAATACATATATACAAAATTCGTTCATCCATTCATACATAAGTACATACATAAACAAATTCGTTCATACATATATACATACATCAATAAAGGGATAACATTGAACCCTCGTAAAAAAATAAAGTTTCATTTTATAACAAACTAAAACACAAGACCCACAAGGTAAAACAAACAAACAGACAAACAAACAAACACAGACAAACAAACACAAAAATATACACGAAGCTGGACTGAAAATAAACTTTGATACAATTCGTTATACAAACACACACATTCAAACACAAATGAACATCCTGGTCTAGTTATAGTATACATAGATGATACAATATGTATGTATGTATGAATGAACGAATTTTTGTCTATGTTTGTAGATATGAATGAACGAATTTTTGTATGTATGAATGAAAATTTTAATTATGCCTGTATGTATGAATGAACGAATTTTTTATGCATGTATGTATGAATGAACGAATTTTTTATGCATGTATGTATGAATGAACGAATTTTTGTATGTATGTATGTGTATATATGTATGTATGAATGTACAGTATAGTGAGAATAAACTTTTCAATATTGCTTTCTGTCATTAGCCGGTCTCAGACACCTTACAAGCAACCCTTGTCTCTTACAGTACGACTCGACAACTTCCCGCTAATTCTGTCATCTTATTCGTCTCAAATTGATCATAGTCTTGTAATTCCATCTCAATGTCCACCAATTATTTCAAACCTCAGTGGAAAATTTGCTCAGTTAATTGGGTGTTTCGTCTCGCTCTGAATGTTGTCTTAGTAATTAATGGTGTTTTGTAGGTCAGTTATTTAAAAAAAAAGTGGGGGCCAAGTTCCATAATTCGTTCACCAATGTTAGCAAACCTTAAATATTCGTTCAATATTATTATTGTTATTATTATTATTATTATTATTATTATTATTATTATTATTATTATTATTATTATTATTCCACAACACGAAGATGAACAGTTAATAACGTATAAATATCCTTTAGACAAAATACAATTCGATGGTCAGATCATAATATAAGGTCGGCTTTAAACATAACATGAGGTCAGGTCATGTGAGGTCAACTTTACAGTTACATAATTAGTGTGAGGTCAAGGCAGGTCACGCTAAGTTCACTTTAATGTCGATGATAATTGAAAATAGGTCAAGTGGTCAGGTAATTTGCTCAGGTGCATTAAATTTTATTCACATCTGTTATATTAACGTGAGAATATTACATAATCTTTCCACCAGTCACCATCCAATCACATAATCACTCCACCAATCACAGAATCACTATAATCACTCCACCAATCACATAATCACTCCACCAATCACCATCCAATCACATAATCACTCCACCAATCACAGAATCACTATAATCACTCCACCAATCACATAATCACTCCACCAAACTCCACCAATCACATAATCACTCCACCAATCCCCATCCAATCACAGTCAAGTTATGATAAACAACTCAAAAAATATTAATTTCACTCTATAAAGAAAACGAAGATTTAAATAATTTTTTTTTACCTAAAATTGTAACTCCGAAATTAAACTGATGTTCTAAATTAACTTTCGTTTTTGTTGACAAATTTTGTATCCGACTGTAATTGGTTCTGCGTGCGTTGATTGGCTGTATTATTGAGTGTGTTACAGTGGCGGTAATGTCGATACTGTAGTTATTGCTGTCGGTCAATAAGTGGGGTTTTTGTTTTTAGGTTACAGAATTCATGACGTAGGTTAGATTACAGAGGTGGATTTTCGGGTTACAGTCAGGAATTATCGGGTTACAGTTAGGTGTTGTCGGGTTACAGTCAGGAGTTATCGGGTTTCAGTCAGAAATTATCGGGTTACAGTTATTTATTATCGGGTTACAGTCAAGATTATCGGGTTACAGTCCTTGATTTTTATAAAGCTGGGGGTGCAATGAGGAGAGGGGGGTGGGAGCGGCAGGAGGCATGCAGGGGAGAAGATTCTATCAGTTTATCAGTCAGTCAGGGAGTGAGGGACAAACACAGGTATATTGAGCTAAAAAAAATCACTTAAAATATAAATGAATTGAAAAAATAAACGTGGGATTAGGTCGTTAGGTTAGGTTAGGTCTTTGGTAATGAAGATTGATATGATTTGATTGATTAAGGCGGTTAGCTTTAGGTGGAATTAGTGCAGTCAAGTGTATTTTTACCTGGATGTTATCTCTCTCTCTCTCTCTCTCTCTCTCTCTTTTGCATGCACACTTACAGGAGTCTGTCAACATTTCACTTTATTATTATTATTATTATTATTATTATTATTATTATTATTATTACTGTGGTTCTGACGTGTGTGGGTCCTACAGGTGGGCCCCTGAACCAAGAGTACGTGTCTAGCCAGGACCCTGAGGGCAACACCGTACAGGGCCGCATGACCTCCGTGCCCAGGGCCAGGTGCTGCAACTGTCCGGAAGCTGCCGCTGCTGACCTCGTGGTGGACCAGCTGGTGAGGATGATGAGGAAGGTCGTCCTTGATATTATGGAGGACAACGCCACCTCCAGCCTCCTGAGGTGAGGAGTAGAGACTTTTATTTCTCTCTATGTCTCCTGCTGCTGGGGTCATGCCTCTTGAACCTAACCTAACTTAACCCAACCTAACTTAACCCAACCTAACTTAACCCAACCTAACTTAACCCAACCTAACTTAACCCAACCTAACCTAACCTAGCCTAACTTAACCCAACCTAACTTAACCCAACCTAACCCAACCTAACCTAACCTTATTAACTTATTACTCTCCCCAGCCCTTTGAAGCTCCGCCAGGTCTTGTGGTTGACTCTCCTGCTGTGTCGTCAAGTGGAGCAATCGGGGGCATCTCTTTCTCCTTGTGTCTGTGTTTCAATGTCTTAGTCAATTTTTTCTTTCTGCTCTCTTGATTGTCTTGTGATGTGTGTCTTGTGTTGCAGTGGTGTGTTCTGTTGTGTTGTGTTGTCTTTGTGTTGCGTGTGGTGTGTTCTGTTGTGTTGTGTTGTCTTGTGTTGCAGTGTGGTGTGTTGTGTTGCAGTGTGGTGTGTTCTGTTGTGTTGTGCTGTCTTGTGTTGCAGTGTGGTGTGTTCTGTTGTGTTGTCTTGTGTTGCATTGTGGTGTGTTGTGTTGTCTTGTGTTGCAGTGTGGTGTGTTCTGTTGTGTTGTGTTGTCTTGTGTTGCAGTGTGGTGTGTTCTGTTGTGTTGTCTTGTGTTGCAGTGTGGTGTGTGTTCTGTTGTGTTGCTTTGTGTTGTGTTGTCTTGTGTTGTGTGGTGTGTTCAGTGTTGCAGTGTGTGTGTCTGTTGTGTTGTGTTGTCTTGTGTTGCAGTGTGGTGTGTGTGTTGTCTTGTGTTGCAGTGTTGTGCTGTTGTGTTGTGCTGTCTTGTGTTGCAGTGTGGTGTGTTCTGTTGTGTTGTCTTGTGTTGCATTGTGGTGTGTTGTGTTGTCTTGTGTTGCAGTGTGTGTGTTCTGTTGTGTTGTGTTGTCTTGTGTTGCAGTGTGGTGTGTTCTGTTGTGTTGTCTTGTGTTGCAGTGTGTGTTGTGTTGTCTTGTGTTGCAGTGTGGTGTGTTCTGTTGTGTTGTGTTGTCTTGTGTTGCAGTGTGGTGTGTTGTGTTGTCTTTGTGTTGCAGTGTGGTGTGTTCTGTTGTGTTGTGTTGTGTTGTCTTGTGTTGCAGTGTGGTGTGTTGTTGTTGTGTTGTCTTGTGTTGCAGTGTGGTGTGTTCTGTTGTGTTGTGTTGTCTTGTGTTGCAGTGTGGTGTGTTCTTGTTTGTGTTGTGTTGTCTTGTGTTGCAGTGTGGTGTGTTCTGTTGTGTTGTGATGTGTTGTCTTGTGTTGCAGTGTGGTGTGTTGTGTTGTCTTGTGTGTGGTGTGTTCTGTTGTGTTGTGCTGTCTTGTGTTGCAGTGTGGTGTGTTCTTTGTGTTGTGTTGTCTTGTGTTGCAGTGTGGTGTGTTCTGTTGTGTTGTGTTGCAGTGTGGTGTGTTCTGTTGTGTTGCTTTGTGTTGTGTTGTCTTGTGTTGCAGTGTGGTGTGTTCTGTTGTGTTGCTTTGTGTTGTGTTGTCTTGTGTTGTTTTATTTCATTCTCTTTTCTCTTTAGGTTTTCATCCTCTTTTCCTACACCTTCTCTGTTCTTTCTCTTCTTCTCTCTCTTGGTTTTTCTTTTTTGTTTACCTTTAGTGTAATTTTTCTTCTCTTCCTCCTCTTCCTTTCTTCCTAGTCTCCCATCTTCTCCTCCTCTTCTCCTCCTCTTCCTCCCTCTTCTTCTCCTCTTCCTCCCTCTTCTCCTCTTCTTCCATCTCCTCCTCTTCCTCCTCCATCATCCTCGCCAGATCTCTCAATCTCTCGTGGCCTCTGGGTGTGTATTATCACGTTGGTGGTGAGATCAGCCTCCACACACACACACACACACACACACACACACACACACACACAGGACTGGTTTAAAGAGAAGATGGTGTAGTAAGTGGTGCACAGTCCGCCATTATACACATTATGGCGTCCATTATAGTGACCTTGGGTTACCGGCGGCGCCTCTGTACCTGAATGTGCCTTACCTGGTGGAGAGGGGTGGGTGGGGGGTTACATATGTTACCTGGTGGGTTAGGGGTTACATGTGTTACCTGGGGGATAACCTGTTACCTGGGGGGATACTTGTGTTACTTAGGGGCTATCTGGGGGGGGGGGATACCTGTTACAGTACCTTGACCTAACCTAACTTACAGGTAACTTGATAACTTAACTTAATTTGGCAATAACTTGACTTTATCCATAAAACCTTAAATCATGACCTTATCCACGAGGCCCTTAAATTATGACCTTATCCACGAGGCCCTTAAATCATGACCTTATCCACGAGGCCCTTAAATCATGACCTTATCCACGAGGCCCTTAAATCATGACCTTATCCACGAGGCCCTTAAATCATGATCTTCTCCAGCAGACTTGATACTTGTGAAGGGCGGGTTGGTGTGTCGCTGGGGCCGTGCTGAGGTGGGCTGACATGTTCCTGGTATTGTTGATTCAGTAGTTTACAGTATGTCTCTTCCCCCTCCTCTTCCTCCTCCTCCTCTCCTCCTCTTTCCTCCTCCTCCTCTTCCCTCCTCCTCCTCTTCCTCCTCCTCCTCCTCCTTCCCCCTCCTCCTCCTCCTCTTCCCCCCTCCTCCTCCTCCTTCCCCCGACCTCTTGTTGATGTACCTGGGTCGCAGTATGGCTGTCGGCCTCTATGTCTCTGCGTCCCTATGTCTGTATGTCCGAATGCGTCTCTATGTCCATATGTGTCCGAATGCCTGTCTATGCCTGTCTGTCTGTATGCCTGTCTAGTGTCTGTACCTTACATTCCCTGTCTAATATTACTGTCTATTTGTCTACCTGTCTGGATCGGTGTGTAATTGCCTGTCTAGTGTGTGTAAGCGTAATTGTATAAGGCTCATGAAACTGCATTAATGTATTAGTTATGCAGATGAGCTGAATAATGCAGTAATCCTCAAATATATTCCCACCTACATTACCTGCCCAGCTGTAAATGGATCACCTGAGGATTATATACACCCCAGCTTATTTCACCTGAAGAGTAAACATACCCAGCTTATTTCACCTGAAGATAAGACAACCCAGCTTATTTTACCTCAATTTCTTTCACCTGAAGATTAGACACCCTAGTTTATTTTACCTGATGATTAAATATATAGTGAGGATGTCATGAACGATGGTATTAAATACTGGTGGTTTTAAACAGGTTGAGAACAGGAACAAGATGAGTTTACCTTCAACACATAATCCACAATGTAATCCGGGGTTAAGCATTCACCATTGTGTTATTAATAATTATGGATAAATGGATAAGTTTACATTATAGGGTGAAAAGGATTACTGTGCTGCTGGGTAATATTGCTTTTAACACCCCCTCTAGTAAGTTAGGGAGCAGGATTAAGGGTTAGGTTGGATAATCCAGGTTTAAGCGTTTGCCATTGTTCCATTTGTGCAGTAGCTAAAACAACTCTCTGTGTATACTTTGTGGGAAACAATATGAGACCATGGACGATAAATATTGGTATATGAGGGCTGTCACTAGTCACACGGAGGGCTGTCACTAGTCACACGGAGGGCTGTCACTAGTCACACGGAGGGCTGTCACTAGTCACACGGAGGGCTGTCACAAGTCACACGGAGGGCTGTCACTAGTCACACGGAGGGCTGTCACTAGTCACACGGAGGGCTGTCACTAGTCACACGGAGGGCTGTCACTAGTCACACGGAGGGCTGTCACTAGTCACACGGAGGGCTGTCACTAGTCACAATTTCGGAGCATATCGACCCCCACCTGCACAGATAGTTGTTTTAGCTACTGCATATACGAACTTGGCTGAATCGTCTGAGAGAACAGAAAGATTGCATTGCTCTCAACAGCCTTGCAACAGATAGAGCGGGAGCCTTGTTGATTACGGTTACAATTCTTATCATTGGTGATATTATGCTTCTAATTATACTCAGTTGGTAGGTGTGAATTGTTGATAGTCTGATAGATTAATTAAGTTACGGGTCATAATGCTTTTAAGAATGTACTGTATTTAGGTTGATAATTAATAGGGGTTTTAAATTCTTCTCTAGCGTCTTCTTCTTCTTCTTCTTTGCTTGTTTTTCATGTTAATATTATTGTTGTTATTATTATTATTATTATTATGATTATTATTATTATTTACATTGATATTATTATTTACATTATTTACATTGTTAATATTATTTAGATTACTTTACTGTTGTTATTATTATAGTAGTAATAGGGTGGAATGCTTAATCTCCTGAACGACTTAATATTCCTTGACGTAACACATAGTTAAGATAGTTTAAATATGCTTTTAAAATAGATACGGGAACAAGAAGGTAATGAAGGGAATGCCTGGGATGTGGGTTAGCGTGGTAGTGGGCGTGAGTGGGCGTGGTAGTGGGCGTGGGTTTGGTGACTCGTAAACTCAAACATCAAGGGAATTTGTAAACACCCTGTACAAACTTTCACCCAGTGCGAAACTACTAAAACTTTTCTGCCAAATTCCTCGCCCAGAACCCCACCTTTAAGCGCCACGCATAAACCGCTATCAGGAAATACTTTGGTAAGATTTTCTCAGCAACAAGTAAAATCTGTAGGTTCTCGGAATTTCTGGTGCCTGAGGGAAGTGAATAAAGATGGTCTGAACGCCGCCATAACGCTTTGTTTACGAGTCGTTGGGGTGGGAGGGGAGGGGTGTCTTCGGGTAGGTCCATTCTGTGGTGGGGGGAGTCGCTAGGTGAGTCCATTTTTGGGGAAGGGGGAGGTCTTGGGTGAGTTTATTCCAAGGAAGGGGGAGGTCCTTTCTGTATTGTGGAGATAGATAGAGCCATTACACAGACAAGTTAGCCTCAGGGATAGATATGTTTAGCCCCAGTCCCGATAGACACCGCCACAGTCAGACAGACATAGACCACCACAGACAGACAGACAGACCACCACAGCCACTGGTACAGCTGCGTCAGATCTGAACATAATCCTGTGAGCTGACGCAGAAATCTTACAGCTTCTCTACACTGATGACGCAAAGGGGAGATTTGATGATCGAATTATATATACAAAGTTTATTAAGAACAATTGTATTAAGGTAAATGATGTTTACTTTGTGATATAAAACTATATATATATATATATATATTAATGTTTCTCTCTCTCTCTCTCTCTCTCTCTCTCTCTCTCTCTCTCTCTCTCTCTCTCTCTCTCTCTCTCTCTTCATTTTCTCTTACTCCTCCTTCTCCTTCATCTTCTCTTACTCCTCCTACTCTTCCTTCCTCCTCCTCCTCCTCCTCTCTCATGTACCCCTGTCAGGCGTCACACCAGTCTCATGACAAACTAACCAATCTAGCCCTCTCTCTCCTCCCCAACATCATCGTTTCTCTTCCTCATTCCTCCTCATTCTCTCTCTCCCCCTCATTCCTCCTCATCCTCTCTCTCCCTCATGCCTTAGAGGATCTGTGTCGTGATTGGTGTAATTTTAGAGAATCTGTGTCGTGATTGGTGTAACCTTTAGAAATTTTGTGTCGTGATTGGTCTAACCTTAGAGTATCTGTGCCGTGATTGGTGTAACCTCAGAGGATCTGTGTCATGATTGGTCTTGCTTGTAATGTGTGTTTTGTAATAGACCCTAACATTGTAGAGAGAGAGAGAGAGAGAGAGAGAGAGAGAGAGAGAGAGAGAGAGAGACCACAACACACACAGTCAAAGTCAAACAGGTTCAGAGTTCCCCAAACATAGATGTTGCCCCCGTGCCTCACACACACACACACACACACACACACACACACACACACACACACACACACACACACACACACACACCTTACCACTACCATCATTACTACTAGCATTAGTGTAGTTAAGTCTTGGTGTAATATGGGCGCCATTCTGGACTTTATTTACCATATGCCAACCAATTAGACGCTTTCTTTCATCTTTAATTACGAGGAAAATTTATCTTATGAGTTAATGAGAATCCGAACTTTTCCTAAACAAACTTTGAGAATGAAAAAAAAAATTAAATGAATGGGAAAGATTACAAAAAGTTTCGAATGAGTGGAGGAAAGTTTACAATAAAGTCTAGAAAGTTAGACATTTTTAAAAAGAAAAATATTATGAAAAGTTTTTTTGGGGGTGGGTTAAAAACATATACAGATAAAGTCAGAAAATCTAGGAAAAGTAATAAATCTGACCAAAGTTTCCAAAAAAAGTAGAAATTTAAGAGTACAGTATAATAAAAAATATATATACTGTATTAAAAAAAGTTCCAATAAAAACTGGACGACTTTCAACAATGTTTGGTGTTTTGCCACAAAGCTTGAGTGGCATACAGCAGCAGGGAATCCACCACAGTAAAGGTGATGTAGGAACGTTTGTCGAATGGAACAGTGAAATGTACTGAGCTGTCCGGGGAAGCTGACTCAAGCACGCACTCACGTAAACAAGCACTCTTGGTTGTAGGTACTCATCCAAGAACTCACTCTCAGGCCTCATGCAAATATGCACCTACATAAACATTTACTTCCACAAGCACAGACTAACACAAGCACATATTCACTTGCAGGGCCAGACAGATTTTATTTGTGCCTGTGAAAGCGTGTTTGAGAATGTAAATGTGCTTGCAAGAGGATGGGGAAGGGGGGCGGGGCGGATCCTTCAGAAGCTGACGGCATTATAGATACGCAATCACTGGCAAGCAAAGAAAAATCAACTGCTTTTGTAAATTTCTCAAGATTCTTATCATGTAAAATGCATCCTTAAAATCCAAAATTGGTAGGACGTGCTTGCAACAGTCATTTGTACCTGCCTCTACTGGTTATGGCAGTCACTACTTTATCAAGCACCACTCATATATGCAAGCATTTACCACCTCACGCGTGTGTAAACTCGAACACACCTACTCCCACTCACAAGCACAATCAAGCACAATCTCCAGAACTCACCTGATACAGTGGCTGGCGGGTCTTGTGAATAAGCAGAAACAACCTTTTTATAGTGTTCAAATAGTGGCTCCTGATTACATTCTGATTAACAGTATATAACAGTATAGCCTCCTATCAGATAAAGGTTGTTTGGCGGTGGTGGTAACAAGGTGGTGTCACTTTTTTCAGGTTAAAGACATAGTATTATCTTGTTCCGTCTAGATTCATTATTAAAATTAAGCTCATCTGTTGGTAATTGTTTCTTGTAAGGGGAATAATTTTGTCTTGCTTAATTCAAATAATGAGGAAAATGTTTAAGGTGGGTGGCTGGGGGAGGGGGGTGGCTGGGGTAGGGGGCTGTAGGGGGTGGCTGGGGTTGGGGATGGCTGGGGAAGGGGGTGGCTGGGGGAGGGGGTGGCTGGGGTAGGGGGTAGCTGGGGTAGGGGGTGGCTGCCTCTCGTCCACAGGAGAGTAAAAAAACTGCCTGTGTATATAATGTGATAATGGTGTGTGTTTCTCCCCAGGGCTCGTGTGTCCCGCCAGAGGTTGTCAGCGTCGCTACGTGATGAACGGACTCGCTCTTCTTCCTCGTCGTCAAGTTCCTCCTCGTCCTCCTCCACGTCATCATCGTCGTCTGTGTCCAAGGTGGCCATCATCGCGGCCGTCAACAACAACACTACTGATGTGCCTCACACAGATGGCCCACCCTCAGTGGCCTCCTCCCCCTCCTGCTCTTCTCCCTCTTCCTTGTTTTCCTCTCCCTCCTCCACCTCCTCTACCTGCGAGGTCAAGAAGGAAGGTGGAGGTAGAGGCAGTGAGACACACCTGGCCTCTCCCAGTGTCGAGGACGAGGAGTCGAGTGCCTTCGTGTCGACAAGTGAGGTGGTGTCTCAGTCGACGCCGTCAGCGGGGACCTCCCACATAAAACATGTCGAACCCATCTTTCTCCGCTGCCCTAAGAGAGTGGAGGAGAACCTGGCTGCCTCTCACTCCTTCGTCAGATCCCGCGAGGAGGCGGGTCCTCACGCCCTTAGAGGCATCCTGTCCCCTAACAAGAGGGCGGAAAGTCGCACCACCGCCGGAGATGAACTTCAAGTCAGACTGAACGCCATACTCCGCTCGAGTCGTCGTGAGAGTGACATATATGGTAACTACTCGTCCTCGAGGCTACCTGAAGCGAGATCCGTCGAGGAGGAGATGGCGTCGTCGTCTCTCTCGGAGTCTGTCTCGTCTAGTCAGCTCAATTACTGTGATCGCCTGGAGGCCCCAAACTATGACTCCTGGAGTTTGTACGAGGAGTCCTCGAGTCAGCATTTGGCCCAGGTCAGCGACACAAATGGGTACTCGGGTACAAACACCTCCAGTCCCAAGTTCCAACCCGAAGCTTCCAGTGGTCAGGACGCTACCTCTCCTACTCAGAAAAGTGAACAGTCTGAGTCCCACTCTACCGCACCTGAGCCCGAGGCTGACCTCCAACGACCTAACTCCTCCATCTACCCCAAGACTCCACGTTGCTCCATCTTCACTATAAGTGGCACTCTGGCGGACCCCTTCGGCACCAGCGCCAAATATTCCCTCAGAAGCCTTTCAACAGCTCACTTCTAATGTCAAGACGAGGTCCGAGCACCTCCCTCAGACACATTAGTTGACCATCGTGTACTGTAGCTCTACAGACATAAGGAACTACTAAGTCGTGATATAGTGCCATAGGAAGAGCAGTGTAGATAATGTTGTTATTTTTGTATTCAGCATAATCCATGGTGTGTAGTGCTGGACGGTCCAGGGACGCCTCAACAAGATGAACAACGGTAATGAACAGCGATCATTTGCTCCCCTAAAAGCAGTCTGGCAGAATCCACGCTTATACGGGTATACCATGCACATATTGGCTCTTGCTCATCATGGTGTCCGCTATTACCTACCACCACTGCCCTCCCACACATCACTCACCAACTTAACATTAACCAAACTGTTGTTTGAGGGTCAGTAGAAGACGCCATAGTGGATAAGGACCAATTGCCGCACGTTATACCCGTACACGCGTGGGTTTCGTTCTCTTGCTCGCCAGGACCACCCAGGTGTGATCTCTTGGATTCATTTATCTCATGGTCAGCATCATAGGCTGACCCTCACACTGTCTTCTACATATCAGCTCCCATAGGTCTAGCAGAGATAGTCTCTCTTGACAAGTCACCTACATGTCTGTCACTCCTCTGAAACACGTCACTCACGTCTCTGAGACACACACACATGTCCCTAACCCACATGTTTGTAACTCCTGTGTCACTCCTCTGAAACACGTCACTCATACTTAAATCCAACACCTTGTTATCCCTCTGCCCTCACTACCAGACGCTCTCAACGATGTAAACATTATCCTCCCACACCCTTACTTGCTTCTTGCCTCACTCACCATAACACCTTCCCTTGCCTCACCCACCATAACACCTTCCCTTGCCTCACCATAACACCTTCCCTTGCCTCACTCTCCTCAACACTTCATCTATTTAGGTACACACATTGCCTCACCTTCCCTCTATTCATATCAACTCCCTGTGTAAACAACTCCACCTTTGTGTTGATGTTTGTGTTTATTGACGGGGTATATGAGGGACTCGACAGTTGCCTTGAGTGTGTGTGTGTGTGTATGTGTGTGTGTGTGTGTGTGTGTGTGTGTGTGTGTGTGTGTGTGTGTGTGTGTGTGTGTGTTTAGTGTTTTGGTGTTAGCATGAGACTGATGTTTGGACCCATAAACACACTCTTGACGTCTTTTTGACATATTGTACATATACACACGCACACACATACATTCCCCACATATTCACACACACACACACACACACACACACACACTCGCAAAACAATACCCTGCCAACTTTGGGACGTGTGATATGACCTCTTGATAACAGTTGTGTTTAATTAGTTAGGGAAGAGTTTGTGATGTACCTCCTTCCGCCAGACGTTATTGTACTTGGAACTCATTTTACATCAGTTATCCCTAGCGTCAAGCTCGTTTTCTGTTCCCAGGGATAACTTCAGAAGATCGCAAACATGGCTTCTCTTTCTTTTCCTTTCTCTCCGGTTATCTTGGTTTCAAATCCTCCATCTAGAAAGTAAATTAAATATCCGGTTGTTGAAATATTTTAAGCTTTTCACCCGCCTGTTGGTTCAAATGAATTTTTCACGATCCTTCAGACACAACGACCTCAGAGTTCCTTTGTAGTTACATTAGTTCATCTTCTTTATGCTCTCCCACTTTAAATTCTTTCATGGGAGTTGGCAATTCCGGCGTCGACTCAGCCGTCAAAAGTATTAGCATATTGCAACAACTTCAGCTCTCTCTCTCTCTCTCTCTCTCATTTGTTCCTATTATTTCTGATTTTCATTTAGCGTAACACATCATTAGTGCATCCGTGAGTAAGATCATGGCGACTCTGCATACTTAAAGACTCTTAAGTTATTTATATACAGTAACTGGGAGGCTGAGACTACACCCCCACCCCCACCCCCACCCCACTCACCTCACCCCACCTCACACCCCACCTCACCCCACCTCACCCCACTCACTCTATTAAGCCGATCTAGCCAGCATCTGAGCTATATAACCCTCTATAACACTATATATCTATAATGTATGCTCATTATATTACTATATTATAAAAAACTACTATGTGCAATTTGTTATATATATATTTTTGATGTAGGTGTTGTATATAATTGTTCCGTTTTTCATGTTTTTTTAAGATTGAAATTTTTTTTATTTATTTATTTATTTATTTATTTTTTATTTTTTTTACCTGGACACTTAAGGTTGATGATTACTGTCTTGGTTAATTCTCCTTCCTTCCTTCCTTCCTTCCTTCATCTTCCCTCCCTCTGCATTCCTTAGTAACTTCCTTTCTTCTTCTTCTACATTTCTTGGGTAACTCTTCCTTCCTTCCCTTCCTCTTCCTTCCTTCCTTCCTTCCTTCCTTCCTTCCTTCCTTCCTTCCTTCCTTCCTTCCTTCCTTCCTTCCTTCCTTCCTTCCTTCCTTCTTCCTTCCTTTCCTTCCTTCCTTCCTTCCTTCCTTCCTTCCTTCCTTCCTTCCTTCCCTTCCTTCCTTCCTTCCTTCCTTCCTTCCTTCCTTCCTTCCCCCACCCTTGAGTATAATAATTTAACCCCTTCAGTGAGATAACTTAATCCCTTGAGTACAATGCCATTTTGCTCATAGGAATTGGTTATCGTCTGTAAAGGTTTAAGATATCGTACTCAAGGGGTTACTTCCATGGCAGACACGAGCAGACAGTGTTACTTCCATGGCAGACACGAGCAGACAGTGTTACTTCCATGGCAGACACGAGCAAACAGTCTTTTTTCAGCAGACAATCTTATTCCTGTAGACAGTCTTCCTCCCACACCAGCAGACAATCTTACTTCTACACCAGCAGGTAATCTTCCTCCTACACCAGATACCAACAGACAGTCTTCCACCAACAGCAGACACCAGCAGATAATCTTACTTCTACACCAGACACCAGCAGACAATCTTACTCCTGAAATTAAACAATCTTTCTTCGGCAGACAGTCTTCCTCCTACAGCGGCAGACAGTGTTGCACCTTCTTCTCGAGCGCCATTTTTTTCCCCAGGACGGACAGGAACATTCACAATCTCCTTCGCCCCCCAACGTTTCTAATTTATCTGGTTGGTGGAGATTGATGACGACCTTGTCTCTCCTAGGAGGAAAAAAATGCCTCTGGTTGCAGCCCGTACCCTTCTCAGCCTGTATTTAACCTGTTTGAGTCTTTCTTGGCCTGTATTAGCCCTCTCTCAGTCTGTTTTTGACCTGCTTGCATCACTGTCAGCTTGTATTTAACCTGCTTATATCTCTCAGCCTGTATTTGACCTGCTTGCATCACTATCAGCCTGTTTTGACCTGCTTGCATCACTATCAGCCTGTTTTGACCTGCTTGCATCACTATCAGCCTGTTTTGACCTGCTTGTAACTTGGCCTGTAACTGACCTACTTATGTCACTACCAGCCTGTATTTCACTTGCCTGTGTCTTGGCCAGCCTGTATCTGTCCTGCCTGCCTCACCCAATCTCTCCTCCCCAGCCTGTATTTGCCCTGCATGTGTCGCCCTACCAGCCTGTATTCTGCCTTGCATCAGCGCACCAGCCTGCACCTGTCCTGTACCTTAATTATGGGACCTTCACCTCCTCTTACCAGCAATCACAGGTAAAATTTTCTTGAATCAATATTTTTTCCGTTTTTGTATTTTATTAAATACTTTTATCCTGTCATTTCAAGCATTGATTTTTATTTTGGGGAATTTTTTTGTTTTTAAAATTTTTCACGTTATAATTTAATCTACAACTCATAGATGTATTTAAATCGTTTTATCGGGAAAATGTCAGGTTGGTCGATTACAATAAGGGTGAAAATGATATGTTGACGAGTAAGTATTGGGAAATGAAGGCACTTGAAGATTAAGCACCCCAGTTTATTTCCCCTGATGATTAAAAACACCTTAACGCTAACATAACATAAACTATCCCCCGAGGTAGCGTAAGAGTACTTAATCACCAGGTGTAACAAACTAGTCTGCTTAATCTTCACGTGATGCGGGATGTGTCACGTTTACACTGGATATGACTTGAGACATATTAAAAAGTGAATAAAATGACTGGCGCGGCCTAAAACAGCCATAGTAACGAGACATAAGCCATTATATACAGTAGTTGTAGGTCAAACAAAAATGCTGATACAACCCTCATATTGCCTACTGAGACCCTGTTAGATTTTGTCCCTTAAACTGATGCAAAGTGAACGTGTCTAGTCAAGGTAGAGTCTCAGTACAGTATTGATGCCATTTTGAGGACGTTAATTTAGTCAGACATATAGACACTTTCTTATAATCTCCAGTTAAGGAAAATTTAACATGTGGGTCTTTTACAATACGAGGTGTTGGATTTACACACTGAACTAGAAAGTATATTATTGTTAGCCTTACAGAAAATATTGTATAGGAATATTTTTAAAGTTTTTTGTGTGGATTTTTGCGTAAGAGTTGGATAGATATTTTATAATGTTTGTGTTCAGCAATAAATAGTTTTATATTCAAGAGTGTTTCATTCTTCGTGTTTCATTCAGAGTGATATGTGATGAATCTTTATTTCAGAGTGTTATGGATCAAGGAAGGTGTTTATCTACTAGTGAATCCTCCACAGATTTAAATTAATAACAAGATTAATGGAATATTAATCTGATAAACTAGGAATAAAACTGCATGAGCTCCGTACCCAACAGGACGAAGTTTCGAACCTTTATACCTCACATTATGAACCATCTGAATCTTCGAACCTCATCTGTATACGACACCAGTTGACTTACTAGCAGAACTACAGCAGCTTTATTGTGTTTCTGTGAGGTATTGATGTTCCTTATTGGATATAGGAGTTACTGAAGAGAGGAAATACCCACGATACAGTACCCAGGTGGAGAGGGTATCAGGGCAGGTAAGACTTAGGGGGTATTGTTCTGGTGCCTCAGTTTGATAGGAAAATGTGAGAGGTGAGATGTTTTCTGAACCTGTTGTGGGGATGTGGTAGACGATGTTCTATCTATCTATCTATCTGTCTGTCTGTCTGTCTGTCTGTCTGTCTGTCTGTCTGTCTGTCTATCTATCTATCTATCTATCTATCTATCTATCTATCTATCTATCTGTCTGTCTATCTATCTATCTATCTATCTATCTATCAGTTCGTGTGTGTATATCTATTTATCTGAAAATTAGGGTGCCCAATCTTCAGGTGATCCGTATAACGTGTAAACCCATAAAAATTCTGACTGGTCGCTACAGCCCGACTGCCCACTATATCACGGTCTGCGTTATACATTGCTAAGTGGGTTAAGACTTGGATTCAGGTCTCAATTTATTTTCGCTAGAGAACCAGAGCGCGCCAGAGCCTGTAGACGTTATTGGTGGTCTTTACACCCGACGCTGGTTTGGTCTGTGTAGTGAACTGCAGTGTCTGACATAAACTAGATTAGGTTTGGTTAGATTAGGATTAGTTAGCGTAGGTTAAGTTAGGTCTGGTTAATTTGGGGTCAGTTAGGTCTTGTGGTTAGGTTGGGTTAGGTTAATTCTGGTTGGATTAAGTCGGGTTAGATTAGGTGTCATGGTGTCTAGGGAGGGAGGAATAAGGTGTGAGGGAAGGAGGGAGAGAGAGATACGGTGTGAGGGAGGGAGGGAGAGAGAGAGGGAGAGATAAGGTATGAGGGAGAGATAAGGTATGAGGGAGAGAGAGATAAATTTGTAGCAAGTTTTATGGCTGGATGTCCTTCCTGTCACCAATCCACTTTAACAGATTAGAAACTGGGTATTATATGTAGGGTTTCCAATCTCCGCTCTCCCTCTTAACTGACAGGGCAAGGTGGCTACTCCCTGGGGTAATAAAATACTAGGTAAGGTTCACTGGGGTTAGGTTAGATAAGGTAAGGTTTGGTTAAGTTACATCTGGGTTGGGTAAGTTAGGTCTACTTAGATTAGGATGAGTAAGTTATGTAAGGTTAGGTTAGGTTAGGTTTGGTTAAGTTACATCTGGGTAGGGTAAGTTAGGTCTACTTAGATTAGGATGAGTAAGTTATGTAAGGTTAGGTTAGGTTAGTTTAGGTTAGGTTTGGTTAAGTTACATCTGGGTAGGGTAAGTTAGGTCTACTTAGATTAGGATGAGTAAGTTATGTAAGGTTAGGTTAGGTTAGGTTAGGTTTGGTTTGGTTTGGTTAAGTTACATCTGGGTAGGGTAAGTTAGGTCTACTTAGATTAGGATGTGTAAGTTATGTAAGGTTAGAATAAGTTATACCTGGCTGGGTTAAGTTATAGGTTAGGTAAGATTAATTTAAGTTACTTCTAGTTAGGTTATCTCAGGCCCTCTTAGATTAGGTTATGTTGGATCTGGGTAATTCAAGTCATGTGTCATATTGTTTCGTACACAGAGGACTGCATACATCCAGGTCAGGCAGATATAGACCAAGAACTCCCACACGTGAACCAGAATCCAATAAATATGCATCATTTTTCCTGGAAGTCTCCCAGATCGAGCGAAACTTATCGTATCTGAACGAATTATGAGAGAATGCGTGAGTGAGGGAGGTGAGATGTGAGGGAGGAAGTGAGGTGTGAGGGAATGAAGGAGGTAAGTGAAGTGTGAGGGAGGAGGGTGAGGTGTGAAGGAGGGACTTGAGGTGTCTATGAAGGAGGGAGTTGAGGTGTGAGGGAGGGAGTGAAGTGTGAGGGAGGGAGTTGAGGTGTCTATGAGGGAGGGAGTGAAGTGTGAGAGAGGAATTAAGATATAAGGGAGGGACAGGGAAGGTGAGGGGGGGAAGGAGGTGAGGTGTGAGGGAAAGAGGGAGATAGGAAGTAAGAAAACGGCAAAAATAATATTGTGATTAAGTCAGAGGTGATGGATGGGATGATGGTGGTGAGGAGAGACAAAGAGATATTTTT